GAGGGATCAGTAAATAATAATTGAATGTTTTTTAACTTAGTTTTCGTTCAGACACGGGCATAGTTTTAGCCCAGGCTCGAAAAAAAATCATAGTTTTCGTCCGAACTAGAAAAAAGGCCATAGTATTCGTCCGGACGCGAGAAAAGGGCATAGTCTTCGTCCGGGCTCGAAAAAAAGGTCATAGTATTCGTTTGGCACCAAAAAAGGGCATAGCTTTCATCCGAACTAGAAAAAGGGCATAGTTTTCGTCTGAGCTCTAGAAAAGGGCATAGTCTTCGTTAGGGCTCGAAAAAAGGGCATAGTCTTCGTCTGGGACTGAAAAAAGGGCATAGTTTTTGTCTGGACTAGAAAAAAGGGTATAATCTTTACCCGGGACGTCAAAAGGGCATATTTTTCGTCCAGGGCCAATTTGGGCATAGTCTTCGTCCAGAGCGTCAATTTACTGTCGTATTTTAAAAATTTTTTACAGAAGAAGGGAACTCGATTGATGCACGGTTGTATTACAAAGCACTCTATACCAAGTTACAGATATAACTCATGTAGTACTGCATGATTTGTTCTACAATCATTTGTGAAATGTATAAAGTTGTAAATGTATGATTTTAATGGAAATCTAATCTGTCACTTAATGGATTATATATTCGTCTATTTTAACGCTGCAGTTTCGACATTAATAGAATTTCTGCGTCAGTTCCTAGGCACGTACAATTTTATACTTTTAAGGCATTAGAAGTTTTCCATTTAGTTCACCCTCTTGTAACTCTAGGTATTGTTAAAACCTTTGATCAGCTCTATTCTTTGTCAAATTCGTTAAGTTTCAATATATTTGCGGGCAAAGAAGTTTGACGTAAGATAGCCCTAGAATAAACCAGTGAGCTAAAGCTCTATCTTGACTAAAGTTTCGATTGTTAACCGATTTGTACAACATTTAGTATGCAGTGGGTGTTATGGTCACGAATTAAGAATCTAAGGGCGGACTTGACAATTTTAAGATAGCGTAAAAAATTTTCTAAATTAACCTTCAATCAGCATTACTAATGAGAGCTCCATAGATACTTTTTCAAATGCTTAGTTAAGTGCATGTATATGTATGAATCTTTAAAAATTTTACTTCAAGGTACAAGAATGCAAATATCAAACTTACGGATCATAAACATGTATAAAACTTTGTAGAAAGTTAAAGTGTTAAGTGCAGAAGTTAACGAATGTATAAAATTATCGCTTTTTACGATGTAAGCTAGGGAATGGTTTGTACAAATACAAACATTTCTTAGTTTTACCATAAAATTAGATTTCCTAACAAGATAAAATATTGTGTGAAAAACGTTTGAGAAAATTTATTAAAAAATGCATAACTTTGTTTAAAACATTTTATTTTCATAAATTAGCTAATCATTGACAATAATAGACTTTTATCAAGTTTCCGGGAACCATTTTTTGATAAAAATGAATTATTCAAAAAAATTTATTACTTCATTCGTGTTTTCCCCAACTTCATTAAACGGTTACAGATACTTTAATGAAAGACTTTTCTCATCTATGGTCAGCTAGATAATGGAAACAAGCTATTTGATACAAAATTATAATTTTTTTTTTTTAATCTTTTAGTAGTAAAGATAGCCATTAACATACCTAGGTGGTATGCGAAGGAACATTTCAGAATGGAATGTTACTGTTCACGTAGTGGGAGGTGATGACTCACAATCAGTTTCAGGCTAGGTGTGGCGTAAAAATAATTATAGTGATTGTTGATGGTTAAGATGTGCAATGAGGCCAAACAACTGTTGGCGAAACGTTGTCTGTTTAGATAGTAAATATCACTACCGTTATATAACTGTTATAGTTATTCCCCTATAAGATCAATAAATTCTTATTATTTGTTTTGTACTCAATATGAGTTGAGTTGGTATGCAAGCAAATTACGATACATTTAGTATCATATCAATTATATACAAGCATTAGAATTATTCTATACACTCGTTTAGAATGAAAGACAGCTCTTACAATAATAACATTTATATTAACCCACAGTGCGTGAAAAATACAGCCCCTTAGAAACTCAAGGGTAAATTAGTTGTCTAGAAAACAGAAAGTTTTGTGCCCGATCTACTCTTGGAGAAGATTTCTAATATTTTTGCTTGTGTTTTAAAATTTCTTTAAAAAAAAAAAAAAAGAAAAAAAAAAGAAAAAGAAAAAAAAAAGTTTACTCATTCATCTTTAATCTTCAGGAGATTATTTGCTATCGAAAAGGATACAGGTTGGCTGAGAGCACTAAGTTGGAAATACCTGTATGATACCTCTATCTATGTGCGCGTATTGATATGATGATAAACATTTAAAAATTTGCTTGAATACTCACTTGAATCACATTGCACATCTTGAGCATCGACAATCACTATAATTATTTTTACGCCACACCTAGCCTGAAACTGATTGTGAGTCATCACCTCTTACGACGTGAGTAGTAACATTCCACTCTGAAATTTTCCTTAGCATACCACCTAGGTGTGTTAATGGCTATCTTTACTACTAAAAGAAAAAAAAGAAAAAAAAATTATAATTTTGTATCAAACAGCTTGTTTCCATCATTTAGTTGACCATAGATGAGAAAAGTCACTCATTAAAGTAACCGTTTTTTTAATGAAGTTGGGGAATACACGAATGAAGTAATACATTTTTTGAACAATTCATCTTTATCAAAAAATGGTTCCCGGAAACTTGATAAAAGTCTATCATTGTCAAGGATTAGCTAATTTATGAAAATAAAATGTTTTAAACAAAGTTACGCATTTTTTAATAAATTTTCTTAAACGTATTTCACACAATATTTTATCTTGTTAGGAAATCTAATTTTATGGTAAAACTAAGAAATGTTTGTATTTGTACAAACCATTCCCTAGCTTACATCGTAAAAAGCGATGATTTGATACATTCGTTAACTTCTGCACTTAACACTTTAACTTTCAACAAAGTTTTATACATGTTTATGACCTGTTATTTTGATATTTGCATTCTTGTACTTTGAAGTAAAATTTGTAATGATTCATCCATTCATGGATACATGTATATGAAATTTTGTTATAATTGTCTTTTTAGCTTACCTCTCTTTTTCTTAAGAATATGAGCATTTTATACGTTGTCGGAAGGTTTTATTGCCACAAAACCACTTCCAAATAATTATGATACGTTAATATGGGTATTGTAATCATGTTACACATTTTTACCTTCATTTTATAGACATGCAGCTACAAAAGATACAAAACTTTAGGTTTTGTTTGTATACCGAGGAATCATTTTTTATTTGTGCATCTCATTGGTTTCTTGGTTATTTTGAAATACTTTCGAATTGTTGGTTTTCATGTTTTAAACATTCTATTTAAGATATGAAATTTTTTGTATTCTTGAAGGTAATGATATTACGAAAATAATAAAAAAAAGTTTCTATGCAACTGTATAAACTTTTTCAACATGACATAAACTTTTTTTTAAATTTAATTTCAAGAATCTGTTGCTGAGACATAATCACAAAAAAAATTCGAGCTTATACTTCTACATTGTCCAACATGGAAATTCGTGCTTGTCAACAACTTTTTTTCCCCTTAGGAAACCCATAAAAATTCGTATTGTTTGCCCATTTAGCATTTCCTTCGAGATACAACGTTCGTTATGTTTTTCGAAGGTCAAATTGCCCTATTAAAGTTTTTATATATTCTCGGTACGTATTTTTTAATATTTAAAACATGAAATATTTAGATAATTTTAACTACAATGAAAATTTACACATAACAGGAATTAAATGGACTCCAGAGTCCAGTCCACAAGGTCCTATGTCTTCATAAGATTAGAACTATGGTGAAGGTCGGAATATCTAAGCTTTCGACCGTCCTAAATATGTACATATGTACACATGTGCTCACACACACACACATACACACACTCGCTGCAGTATTCTGTTACTTTTTTTCGACTTACTATTGTGCGCATGTGTGTATGTATTTATAATTGCATTGATGACAACATTTTTATAATATTATAAGTCAATAGGGAGAGACAGAGACACAGAGAGACAGTAAGCACCTAAAATGTAATTGTACATTAGCTATAACAGGGGAATAGTTGAGATCCGATTTCAGCCACATTACAATTTCTGATCATTTGCAGCAACAGCACTTAGCAGTGCAAGAAAGAGAAAGATGAGCCGCTGCTTATGTGTATAAGAGATTCGATTTGATTATAACTCAATTTTTTTAATGCCAAGGGTAGTATCACCCAAATGGCAACTGCTTAATTACAAGGCTTTTCTAATTGAAAACAATAATAATACGCAAATGTATCGCAACATAAAAAGTACCAATTTAATTTCAAATTTGAAACAAACACATACATACATACATATCGACGTGTGCGTGGAAGACTATCACAGGGTAACGTCACACCGTGTTATTTTAAATGGGGTGACAACACGCTGTGATAGTCTTTCACGCGCACGTCGATATATGTATACACACATTATATAAATATACAGACATAATTCATAAAAATAATTTCACATACATTGATTTTATTCATAGTATAATCTGCACAAAAGAGAATGAAAGAAAACCAAGCGTCGTAGTGCATGTCTATATCTGCATTCATTCACTTTGCTTGTTTTGTGGATAAACTCTTTGAACACAATTCGCCTAAAGAACTTTCACTTCAAAAAGCCCGGAGTCAGGTGATTGAACGATAGAGAATGTTGAGCTTAAACATACGTTTTGATTGCAAAAATACTATTAAAAAAAAATCGTATTATAGTCGTTATTAGAGTGTAGTTAATTTTCAAAATGATAGAATATTCTTTATAACCTACTAAGTTACCATTACACACACAAACTTGTTAGTATGTTTCCCTAGACTATTAAAAAAAATTTAAAGGAAACTGTTTCAAAGAAGCCCATAAAAAGAATTTAAAGGCTTGTAAGTAAATATATGTTACAAATATATGACAAAAATATTACTGCAATTCGATGCCAAATACAGGAGCTTGGAGTTGCATATATTAAAATACTAGTCAAATGTAGTGGTGATGCTATGGATTCGTTGAAAAATATCAAGGGCTCGACACTAATCAATATTTCTAACGCTATTGCTTTCTTCTCATTTGTGAGACGTCGTTCATCATTTATTATAAGAACTTTTTTTAACATCACAATAAATTTGTAAGTTATAACTGGCCATCTTAACATTAGTTTGAGCACACAGTTCTTAAATAAACATTCTAAGCGTGGATTGATAAAACCTTGACCAAGAAGAAGTTCCAGTAATAATTCAGTTAATTTTTCTACCTGTAACAAAATTTACATTTAAAAAATTTTTCAAAATATGAAGACGCACATAAAAGAGTACGTATAAATGAGTGACATAAGGGTATTTTGTTCAATAATCTATTGTTAAAAATTACCATAAAAATTAAGCATGTAAAATTCAGTAACAATTATTTTTAAAGATATTCAGCACGTAATAAGAAAATTTATTAATTTTGTACAGTTTTTATAGATAAGGTAACAAAGTTAAATTATTTTTGTATAAAATAGTATGAATATGGTAGCAATATAGTTAGATAATTTATTCATCTTAGGTCTTGATGCTTAAGCTTTCACTTCATAGCCTAGGATGTAGCTAATTTGGTGTGATTCCGCATATGCTCATAATACATAATAAGCCTATGAGGGTGTCAAAAAGATCTTTTTGGTAGTATCAACACTTCGACAGCTTAGTATTAATAAGGACACCATTACGATCGTGAACGTGGTCAGTTGAACACCTTGTGTTTAAAGATTTGGCCATCCAACACTGGAGAGCTTCCTATTTACTCTTTGATAATAGTTGAGACATCAATGTGGAATAACTCGGGAAAAAAAAAGTCAATAACTCTAGAAAGGCTATTTACAGAATACCCTTGCGGCGCATTCTCTCGAAGATATCCATCTTACAGTCAAAGGAGAGGGAAAGTTTGTTCTTTCTACTGTTCTTTTTACTGCTTAATTTTACGTAATATTTTGTATTCTTCTTAAAAACACTGTATGAGAGTTAGTATGGTGGGAAGGAAATATAAGGTTACTTAAAACGCATACCTTATTAGAATGTTAAAATTAAAAGTTGCCAATCTAATACAAATATTTCCAATTTCAAAAGTTATTATAATCTTATCTTAAAGAACTGACTTTTTAAAAAAGACATTGCAATTTAATAGTATTCTCTTTTATACCTGTATTTAAAACACTTAGTTGTGTTGTAACAAGTAAATATGATCCAAAAATAAGTATATACGTAACTCGTTTCAGAACATTATGTTAGAATTTAATATTATATACCATTTAAACTTAGTAAACATTCTCTTGATTCAATAAAATCTATATATTTTTGGACATGTGGAAAAAAACTATGAACATCAAAAAACTATTTTCTTGTATCAAGAAAATATTTGCTAGTGTCAAAAATGACAGTTGCGAAATCGAATACACTACCCTCAAAACTAATGTCTCATATTTCAAGCAAATTTCATACTAGAATAGTTACCAGTAAATATTTTCTGGAAACAAGTACACTCTCAGTCAAAAATTATTAGCTATTATTTTAACTATAAATTATAGCTGTATTTACAGCTATAATCACCTACAATAATAGCTATAATTGACTACAAAGTAGCTATAATCATGTACAAATAACAACTATAAAAAGTAGCTGTTTACAGCTATAAATTCTAGCGAATTTTAATTAACAGAATTTATTCAATAATATTTTTTTTGTAAGATATATCAGCAATAATAGGTGATATTATCCGTGTAATAACACGAAAAGTGGGGGGTTCAAGTATTTTTGAACGATAAACGAAAAAAATTTAAACAGTAAAATTTTTTTGTTTCTTCGTTTACTGTTTAAGAATACTTGAACCCCCCACATTTAGTGTTATTATACGAATAACATCACCTTACAAAAAAAAGATTATTGAATAAATTATGTTAATTAAAATTCGCTAGAAATTAATAGCTGTAAACAGCTACTTTTTATAGTTGTTATTTGTACATGATAATAGCTACTTTGTAGTCAATTATAGCTATTATTGTAGGTGATTATAGCTGTAAGTACAGCTATAATTCATAGTTAAAATAATAGGTAATAATTTTTGACTGAGCACATAACTTATTTAAGAAAATATCAACTGATTTCAATATTATATGCTTTAAAGTAAATTTAAAGTAAATTTTGATTCAAGTAAATTTATACAATTTTGGACATGTAAGGAAAAGCTATGAGAATCCAAAAACTATTTTCTTATGTTGAGGAAATATTTGTTAGTGTTAAAAACGATAATGACGAAATCGAATACATTACCCTTAGAATACTGCTTCTTACTTTAAGCAAATTTGATACTTGAATAGTTCCAAGTAAATACTTTCTAGTAACAAGTATACACATAACTTTTTTAAGAATTTATTGTTTGACTTTAATATTATATGCTATACAAACTTAGTAAATATTTTTCTGAATAAACAAAAATCTGTAATTTTTTGGACATAAAAAAAAGCTATGAGAATCGGGAAACTATAATATTACAGGAGGAAAATGTTTACTAGTATTAAAAACGAAAATAACGAAATCAAATACACTACTCTTAAGAACAATGTTTCTAACTTCAAGTGGATTTCGCACTTAAACAGTTCCAAGTAAATACTTTCTAGAAACAAGTACATGCATATTTTGTTTAAGAAAATATTGTTTGAATTCAATATTATATCCTATACAAACTTAGTTAATATTTTCTTGATTAAAAAAAATCTATGTATACATTTGACGATGTAAAAAAAAGCTACTAAAACCAAGAAACTATTTTCTTACAGAGAAAGCTGATGCTAGTGATAAAACGGAAACGATGAAATTAAAGACACTCCTTTGAAAAAAAATGTTTCAATTTTCAAGTAAATATAATGCTGGAATAGTTCTAAGTAAATGTTTTCTAGACATAAGAAAATACATGACTTGTTTATAAAAATTTTCTTTGCCTTTTTTATGTTATGTGCTTTCGGAATGTAGTAAGTATTTGCTTCATTAAAGTAAATTTAAATATTTTTGGACCTGTGTGAGAAAACTATGCGAATTAAGGATTTGTTTTCTTACATCAAGATCATTTCTTCTTGTGTCAAGAATAATTTCGTTTGATTGAACATTTTAATATTCTTTATTGCAAGAACATTTTTCGTAGATGCGACAAAATAAACTTTTAAGAAAACATATGTAGCTTATACTATCAGAAAAGATTTTCTTAGATATATTTATTTTGGTACAGACAAAATTGGTATTCGCCCTTATATTTAGGGTGCTTTGAAAACCAGTCAAGTGTTGTCTTTTATAATTAAGAAGAAAATTTTTCTTTACAATTATAATGTAGTTACTCACTTGTTGCAAAAAAATCATTACTTGTAAGGTTGGCTTATTGCGTTTAAGTGAACCTTTAAATAGAGTGATATGTAAGTTTTAATTATTGTTAGGCACGGGTCTAGCTCAGGGGATACAACATTGGACTACTATACCGCAGATTCCAGGTTCAAAACTCCACAGCTGTAAATTTTTTTACAGCTTTATTCTGTTACAGGTCTGCTATTTAATTTTAAAAATATTAATAACTCCTTAATCATCCATAGGCAAACATGAACATGAAAATATATTATGTAAGATTGAAATCAATAATATAATGACTTTTGACTAAACTAACTTCTAATAAATAATTATTTGAATCATAATCCTTAATATACAATATCATTTGATGCAAAATTTTATATAAAATCTCCATGTTTGTAATAATAATAATATACGAATACATTTGTATGTAATAATGTACTATATAGCATCATAAAGTGTGTTATTATATGTATAAGTGTATTATATGCGTATAATGTAACTAGAATCTAATCAAGTGGCGCGGCAGCGTCACGCAGGAGAGTTTGAGAAGCATGCCATGGCGACCGAGTACACTATTAACTTCTATATTTGATTACCAAATTTTCAACTAATAAAAAAAAAATTATTACTATTTTACTACAGCATATCTCATGCGGTATTATATTGTGTAGGGAGTAACCCCTCCTTCTACACCTGATCTGAAGAGACTTTTTGGGCAGGCCACCAAACATTCCCCCTCCTCATATTTTCTTACCAATCCGCCGCTATAATTTATTGAACCCTCTATGTGTATGTATTTGTTTGTATTAATTATTAATGAGTGAGGATACTGGAGGGGTTTTCGGCCGTTTTACTTTTATTTTATCCTTAAATTTGCATTGTATCAGGGAAAGGAGTAAGTCTACGGTTAAGTAATGAGTTGAAAGAAATTTATTTTATTTATTTTTATAATTGATGGCATTAACAAGGGCATTTAAATAAAAACAGGCAATATTGTACACAATCCCACACATGAGATCTTTGTCAAAGTCTTTCGTTTTACAATCTGTAAATCTTGCAAATAATCTGAGAGAGCAATGATTGTTGATGCTGCTTTGAAGCTGACAGATCCAAAGCTTATCTCTCACAGACTCTTTTTTTCACAGGCTCCATTTTGTCTCCGTTACAGTGTATTTACTATCAGATGATTGACCTGAGACTGACAGCTGCTTTATGTTGAAGCACAAATGTATGCTACTCATTATTCAAAAGAGCGGTGGTATTAAAAACCCTTGAAAGAGGTGAATCACGTTTGAACTTGTTAAAACTGCAGCGCCAAGCGGTTTGGATAGTATTACTTGAAAAACAGGGATGAACGCGAAAGTACAAAAATTCTGGCAGTGACTTTTTCACAAAACATACAGAGGTAGGCTTACAAAATGCTGAAATTTTTATTTCTTAGAATTTATAACAGTCCGTAGCTACATCTTTTGGAATGCGCAGACTACAAATTGTAAGAAAAAAATCACAATGATACATAATAAAAGCTTAGAAATAAAATTCATATCAACGACATTTCACTACAACTACTTCATAAGTATTTTATTGTACATCCACCGCTATCCAAAACATAAATTTTACTTTTTTTGTTACATCTTAACAAAATAAAACGTCTAGCGAGTTAGTCATTTCTTTTTAAATCGTCAGAAAAACAGTTAATAAATTTTCTGAAACCCTATTAATGACTCATGTTAAACAGAAACATTTAAAAAAAATTGACCACATACATTTGACGATAGGCTTTGTAGCTGTTGAACATTCCAACGCAGTGTTTTACAATTTTTTTGTAAGCGATTGATGTGATAAGGTATATACGGTTATACACCATAGCTATCGAAATAAAAGC